ATGATCGATTTTGTCCCCAATCTCACGCCATAACAGAAAAAGCTTTTGAACACCGGTAAACTCCGAGCGCTTCAGAGTAAGTGATATTTTTAACGAATCTTCGGATTGTTTTCAAGTTCAAGGATTGTAAATTACAATTTTATGAAAAACGAAGGTTGTTCTCGTATTTCAGTGTGAATCCTCGCACGCCTGCCAGTCGCTGGCGCCGCTTGTTGAAACTAAAACGAACAAAAATAAACTATTTTTAAAATTATCATTGGCTTCTTTTTCACCCCACCACTATTCTTAGCAACGAAGGTCGCCATTTCGTTTGTTTATTACTCGCAAAAACCTATCAAATGCACTCAAAAGCCTAAAATCGAAAAAAAGTTTACAGGAATCGAGCGAGCGAGCGAGTGCCACTCTCCACATCATATATACAACTCGCTCTTGCGCATGTGCGCAATTCACGAGTTAAAAGGATTGCTTTCAGAAGTTCGTGGTTACCCTCTATCCCTGCGGATTCATGGTACATATTTTTGCATGGGGGTTACCTTGGAAACTAAGTAGACGTTTACGAAATTTTTAAGGATCTTCTCTTTTTTTCATGTTGTGCCCATTTTAGTTACCTCTTTCCGTTCTTCTCTTACAGCATTTTGATTATTATTCTTCCTGTTGCCTCGAAGATAGTTGTGAGACATATGTCCAGAAATGCATGCAGTAGCGAAAATGGCGAAAATTTGTTAAAATCTTCAAGTCCACCAAGCTGATTTCGCTTTGACGAATGCGACTAAAATTCGCCAATATCGCCAAAGCCATAAATATTCATTAGGTTTGATGAAATTTCGTTAAATCTGCCATTTTCGTATACGTAACTGCGTGCATTTCTAGACATAAGTGATATGTGAGGAACCTATATTTTTCAATGTTGATCTTGGAGGCTTAGCCCACATAGGCTGAAGTTCAGTGAGGTGAAGCTCATTAAAATCTATATCCATTGAAATAACTGATAGCAGAGGTGACTTGTGCGGTAAAATTTAATACTGAACAACCATCGACAATTTATATATAAGCTAAGCTTTAGTTGGAACCTGAAATGAACCTTATTTAATTAACACACATTTTTTTTTATCAGGGCTGGATTGTCACATTATTTGCTGTTAACTTTACACCCAGTATTCCAACAAGGAACCATTAACTGTTTGCACCACTACTTGTCCCTCCAGATCAACGTGCGTCAAACGAATAACTTCTTCTCGTATGCCAGTGACGTAACAGTCATCATCCAATCCAGTTTTTTCATTCTTTATGGAAGCCACTACGCAGCTATTGGTTTGAGTGTCTGCAGACCATGATGATGGGAGCTTTAAACTGAAATCAGTTTCTGACGAAAGAGAGATCAGATATTGGTTTGCGGCGTGCCTTAAAATAATAAAGCCTACTGAATGAAAAAAATAGGGGGGTATAACATGGTTTTCCGGAGAAACAGAGGGAGGATCAGCTGTCGCCAACAAAGCGCAGAGGGAGGAACATAGAAAATATACTGAAAATCAACTGCCAATTAGGAGGATTATAAGAATCATAGAGAACCTTATGTGGGAACAGCTAAATTCTCAAGTGACACAGACCAAAATCCTCCGACCAACCCCTCCCCCCCGCGATAAATAATAACAGGTCCCTTACGGGTTTAAAGGGGGTGAGTCTCTATAAAAACTGTGGTGCCGCGTCGGTGGGAGAGTATAAAAGGGTAATTTAGTGTTATCAACTGAGTTGAAAACGTAAATTGGCCACCTTAAATGGTTTAAAGGCTAACGTTTCGAGCGTTAGCCCTTCGTCGCTAATCGCTCTGACAGCTCAGTTCATGACACTAAATTATCTTCTTACGAATTTTTTACGTCACCTGATAGCTCCCGAGTGGATACGGTAGTGTTATTATGAATGAGGTTCCTTTTCAATGCAGGCCTCTCGTAAGGCTCTGAAATGTGACCCATTGCTGGACGACGGCGACCGTGAACATGGTAACAGCCTGCTTTGCTGCTCGCACCTAGATAGTAGGGAATCTCAAATCCATCGTTGTTATTGATGTCAGGCAAGTCTTGAATTCTTGTGGACTTCCATGGGTACATTCGAACTTTCTGAACGTGACGAGGAGGACAATGATAACGATGTTCAGATAAAGAAACTAACCCCCTTAACTAATTTGTCTTTAGGAGTAATGCTTTGCTTTTAAATAGAATCGTGTTGTACAGAAATCTCTCCTTCTCTATTTATTAATCAAAGATATTACATAAAAGATCGCAAAATTATTAATTAATATTTTATTTACCTGTTAGGAGATTGACTTACATAAATTAGCAAGAAAAGTATATCAGGTACTGACGTTTAAAAAAGTATTCAATCGTCTACGCAAAAAAATTTAAAGAGTGAGGTTGGTATTTACCTTATCAGCAGGCTTGAAAGTTCTCAAACCACAGCCAGCGTCAAAATCTGAGACGATCCGACTTCTTCTCTTTCGTTCGTCTTCTAAGTCTAATCTTCGTTCTCTGACGCCGTGCCAGTGGTAGACGCAAACAACACATGAAAGAAAAACTGCCAGGAGACAAACTGGTAACAGTACACCAAAAGGAGTCATTGTGAGACTCAATGAAGCCATGGACGGGTTGATTTCTTCTAACTTTGTTTGTGATTTTGCTTTTAGTGTGTTTGACGACCAGCTTGAATCTGTTGAGGGAATGTCATGGAAGCTGTGATCGATTTTGGAGCCCTCGTGTTCGAATTCTGTCTGTGGCACAGAAGCTGTCGAGAATACCCCAGAAAAAGAGAATGATGTTTGGTTTTGAGACATAAAAGATGACATGAATGCCGTAGTTAACTCATGTCCTAAAATCAGTACTTGCACTTCACGATTTGACGAAACAACAGAATGCCTCATACTTCACTACAGTAGTTTCCAATGCCATTTGCACGATTTTACTCTTACATGAAAAACCGAAAAAAAATGACAGAGGGTAATCATCTCTATTCTAAACGGTGTGAACATAACAAGAATATTTGATTTATATAGGAAAATTATTTTTACAAAGGTGACAGAATCACAATTTGTCACCTAAGGGCGTAACTCAGCAGTCAAACAAGTCAGCCAGCACACCCTCTGTATCAGCACTTCACCACGAATGTTTCTTCACCTGCAGGATTTCTAGTACGAGGCCTCGAGCGACGCCAGTTGGCCAGAAGTCTGCCTGGGCCGAGGTTAGCACCGATAGTTTTTAGCATCAGGCCCCCGCAAAGCCTCTTCCCGACCCGTCTCAAATCTTCCCATAGACGGAGAAACGCGCGTCTGGTAGCGTTATCGATAAGGGCCTGCTCACCCAAATCTAATCATTCATCAGAGGTGGATGAATGTTGTAAAGTAATTACAAATAAAAAAAAACCAAAATATGCAACATGGTTAACCTTCGACAATAACGAAAGTTTCATTTCCAATTGTGCCTCTTGAACCCTACGATGCTACCAAGACGTGTTCAACAGGTGCGGTGGATACAGTACATACTCTTATCTTCCTTACCTACGTTGCTTCCCTTTACGCACCCGTTTCACGGGACTTGATTTTCCATTAGATAAGAAATACATCAAAAGAAGAGTTACACAAGAACAAAGAAAACAAAAAGAAAGCGAATGATTCGGTTCATGGTTTAAACGTTTCCATCGGTTAGCCAGCAGATAACAAAAATAAGAAAAAAAACCTAGAAGAGACCAAAACCTGTCACTTATCATAGCAGTGACTCCAAAGACAACTTGACACTATATCTACTGGACTTCCAGGTAATAATTCAAGCAGGATGTTGGAATATCACGACAAAAGTTCGTAAATTATGAGCCTTTGACTAGCTGACCAACAAGAGGAAAGAAACAATTTGACAAAAATGAGCAATTTTATCACGTGTTGTGTAATCTGATACACGTGAATAAAGTACCAAATTAGAACTGCTATGAAAGGAAAAACATGCAAAGATTTCAGAGTAGCAACAGCCTTGTAATAATTGTTCCCAAAAGCTTTATTAAGATTATATTACAAATAGCGTACAAAACGGGCAAATTACAATTTACATTATGACTTTGTACAGCTGTGACTACAAAATAAATGAATATACTGAAGACATAAAAGAAGGGTTTGTAACAAACCTATAATAAGTGCACATATATAATATAAACAATACAATCTTGCATTTTATTTCATTTCTGTTCATAGGTCTGAACTTTACATTTATATTTACAGTTAGAAATCAAAGGAGGACATATTGGTTTTTTTTAACCTCCTGTTTTGTAAAATGTATCTGAGTTTCTGGATATGTGATCTAAGCGAGGGCCATAGTAATCAATGATATACGCTGAACCATCAGCTGGGCCAACGACCTATGCAACAAAACACAAAAACATTTGTTAAGATGCCTCTTACATTGTAAATTTGAGGGGAAATTGACTTGTACATCTGCTGAAGATTATCCCAGTTTCTTAAGAATATAACATCAAAGAGCTTGACTACTCCCCCAGATGGGCTTCAAGTCCATTAAAAGTTACCATCCTCCCCCCCCCCTTCTGCAGTAATTTGTCAGGTTTCACTGACAGTTATAGGTTTCTGTGACTGTTCACTAATACGGTATACCTATCTACAATCCTGGGAGAAAGTGGGTGTGGGGGAGAGGTTGGGCAAGAGGCAATGTTATTTTTCACAGAAGTGAATTGCATTGTATTGTTTACTGTTAGTTATTAATATCAACTGCCACTCATATTATTTACCTGTGTTGCAATCAAAATAACATCTACAAGATGAAATACAAAGAAGAAACCAAGTGTGCAAAACTTTAACAGTCCTGAAAGATTTTAAAAAATAATATTGTCATCAACTAAGATTACACCAATGTGTCCTTTTCTATATTAAGAAATACATTTTAAAGGCTGACTTTCACTCAACTACAACTAAAGCTAACCTATCGCAGGATATCCAAGATAAAATCTGTCAATTCCAAACATGCCAAGGAAGACTGATAACAAAAGAGCGGTTTCGTACGAGTGGTCAT